GGGGAGGGGGAGAGGAGGAGGGGGGGTTAGAAAGATGGGAGGGGGGATGAAATTTGTCATAAATTATTTGTCTAAAAACTCATGCATATCTGGGTATTATACACACATTTCTTTCCTTCATACATTTATTTATCCTTTCAACAAATTAGTTTTACGCTACCTTACAAAAAAACATACCTGCAGTTAATTAGCATATTATGATTCAGAATTACCTGAATCAGTTTATGTTTCCATAATTACACTCATGTAAACACTTTTCAAATTTCTTGTCACTTGATCAAGTTCCATGTCTAAATATAGCAAACACCCATAACAGTGCTGCATACCTGTTCTGCTTGTTTTTGTTATGAATGGTCGATCTATGACAGTTATATACTTTTTTGAAAACATTCATTACCATTCAACATTAAATTCTATAACATGTTCTTTATAATAACAGTTTGTAATTATTATTGTATGAATTATTTTAATTAGTAAAACGAAGACAGCAAGTAAACATGACTATTTGTGAATTAATTCTATCAACATCAGGTGAGGGGTTGTTATTTTAAACATTATAATACTATATTTGAGGTATACCAGAGATGATCTCCATGATTCCACACAAGTAGAACACCACTGTTTTCTTGAAGCAGAAGAAGAACAGGAGGGCAGCCACTGTGATCAGCATCAGCAACGACGACACACCGACGAAGAATGATGTAGCTTTGAAGGAGTTGTTGAGCATGGAATCCCAGCTGAATGGGGACCCGTCACACAAGTATTCCCCTCGGGCATGATCGGGGTAGCAGTTGGCGTACACGCCCAAATGTCCGTACCCCGGGGATTGGGGAGTATCCCCAATCCACTGAGGCTGGATAAATGACACCAGGTTCAAAATACACCAAATGATTGTGAGCAGTCCCCACAAAGCACAGATAGCACGGTACTCTCTCATGTAACGAAAATGGTACACTCTCGCTGTCTCCGGGTTGAATTTAGACACGTTTGGATCCATAACCGACGTCATGACGCTTCGCCGATCTGTAGCACCTGTTTTTGTTGTATTTACAACTCCCCGACGTCTCTTCTGTCAGGCGAAATATTAGACCTCGTGTGAGTTGTAAACGGAGGGTGAGGTCTAACGACTCGTAGCCGCTGTCAATGGAACACTGTTCTTAAAATAGCGCCCGATCAAACTGGTAGAACAGGTTTCAGCCTTAAGCGTCATTGATTGGCTGTACTCACCTGTTGTTGATACCGCCATGCATAAACCTGTTCCTGGGGCTATTTTTAGATTACCACATGGCTCATTACCGATGCACAGGTCATGGGTCATATTATGCCGGAAATCGGAAGTGGTTTGTGAACGTTTTGGCATTTTGGTGGGAAAAATGAAGGAAAACTGGTGCTGTTCTGACGTTAATTGGAAGCTAAGCATTTAACATAGTCTGCTCAGATCAACGACAGACACTCAGCGCTGATACCAGGTAATCCATCAGCTTTTAATACTCTCTAATTTAATATATAAAGACTGTTTAGAGTACTGAATAGAATCGTGAAGGCCCACGTGCATGTACATTTTGTAACTTTTACTTTCACTTTCTAGTTATTTTCAGAATTCTTTAAAATGGTATGGGAAAAAAAGTCATATACAATCATTGAAAAAAAAGAAGAAAATTTACATAGATTAAAAAGAACACATAGTTCAGGTCATCTATTTCCTCTACACACCTCTGAATCTCTAGCCATTCATTGTCTTTGTAGTGTACAGGTCCAGTACACTCTGCCGATTGAGCTATATAGTATATAGCTATAAAGACCTATATAGCTTTATACACCTATAAATTATAGCTGTATTGAGCTATATTTTCTCAGATTTCAAATTTCATTAAATTAAAGCAAAGTCGCATAAAACAGCAAGGTTAATGGTAATGTTGACTACAAAAAGCATACATTTAGATGTTTATTTTCATTTTTCATACATGTAAAATTTCCGATTTCTTTACATCATTATTTTTTAAAAAGAATACTTTTGTTATGAACCTAATGATACAATCTTCTTTTAAATGCGACTTTGTTCCGTTTTCCTTAAAAAAGAAAATCACTTGAAAATAGCTCAAAAGACCTATTTCAGATAGGTCAATAGAGCTATTATAGGTCTTTACAGCTATATAGCTCAATCGGCAGAGTGTACTGGACCTGGTGTAATAGGACGAGGAATAGTGATAGAGATAGTGCCGTCGCTGGGCCTCGAACCCGCGACCCTTGGCTCTCCAGCCCGATGCTCTACCGCTAAGCTAAAGGGAAATTCCCTACAGCTGACGCTTGTAAGGCAACCTAATTAATTCACATCTTTTACACTATTCCCCCCTTTTTTCAAACACCAACCAAGGTTCTTTGACTCCCCGCCAAGGGTTCTCCTACCTTGAAGGGGGAGGGTCACCGGCACCAATTTATAATTGGACGAGGAATAGTGATAAAGATAGTGCTGTCACTGGGCCTTGAACCTGGCCCACGACCCTTGGCTCTCCAGCCCGATGCTCAATCTAAAAATCTAAAATACTTTAGGTGTATTGCTGTTAGATTTTAGCTCACCTGGCCCAAAGTTTTACTTTAAACAACTTCTTAATAACAAAAAGGCCCAGGGTGATGATATTTAGCCATAAGCAAACTGCTTGGATGAAGGGCTACCAAGTTTTTGCAAATGAATGACCTTCACCCATATTCAAGGTCACAGGGGTCAAATATGTTAAAATCTTTAAACGACTTAGGGTTCAACTGAATAACCAAAAGCCCAAGGTGATGATATTTGGCGAGTAGCATGCTCGGGGATGAAGGGCTACTAACATTGTTCAAATGAATGCCTTTACTCATATATAAGGTCACGGGTCAATTGTCTAAAAAAAACCTTCAAACAACTTCTTCTGAATAACCATAAGGACAAGGATGGTGATATCTGACCAGAAGCATACTAGGAAGAAGGGCTACCAAGTTTGCTAAAATTAATGACCTTTACTCATATTCAAGGTCACAGGGGTCAATTGTCTAAAAAAAAACCACCTTTAAACGACTTCTACTGAACAACCAAAAGGTCCAGGTTGATGATATCTAACCAGTAGCATGCTAGGACGAAGGACTACCAACTTTGTTCAAATAAATGGACTTGAATTATATTCAAGGCCACAGGGGTCAAATATGTTTAAAATCTTTAAACCACTTCTGAATAACCAAAATGTCCAGGTTGATGATATCTGGCTAGTAGCATACTAGGAAGAAGGGCTACCAAGTTTGTTAAAATGAATGACCTTGACTTATATTCAATGTCACAGGGGTCAAACTTGTTGAAAATCTTTAAATGACTTCTTCTGAATTTATTCATGGTTATAACCATGAGCCTGAAGCCCAGAATGTTGATATTTGGCTTGTAGTTTGCTTGGATGAAGGGCTATCAAGTCATTTGAATGACCTTGACCCTTTTTCAAGGTCATATTTGGTCAAATATGTGTATATACCTTTAAATGACATAATCTCAATAAACTAAAGGTCTAGGGTGGTGATATTTGGCAAGTTGCATGCTGAGATAAAGGGCTATTAAGTTTGGTCAATGTAATGACCCTGTTCGACTTCAAGGTCACAGGGGTCAAATGTTTTAACAATTTTGAACAGGTTCTTTCATTTCATTTCAAATCAATTTTATTGTATTCAAAAACACAATTGGATTAGGCACAGGCATTGCCTATAAAAGCCCTTTCCAGAGAACAGGTTCTTTGAATGACTTATAGTCATACATACTGACATTTTGCCTGTAGCTTTATTTGAGTTTACTTTTACTGTTACAAGTGTGAGATTAATACCAGGTGAGCGCTGCAGGCCCAATTGGCCTCTTGTTGATTTTTGCTTTAATTTTTGGCTCACCTGGCCCTTATGCCATGGTGCAGCGTTCGTTCATCCGTCGTACTGCGTCCGCTGTCCATCAACCTTTTCCTTTAAAATGCTACTTGTCCTTAACAGCTCGGAGGATTTTGACCAAATTTGGTCTGGAGCGTCATTGGCTAAAGGGTTCTCAGTTTTGTATAAACAGAGGGTATGGATCCCTCTGGGGGCAGAGGGGCAGGGCAAAATAGGGGGAAAATAGGTAAATCTTCAAAAATTCTCTTCTTTCCAACTAACAGAAGGATTTTGACCAACTTTGTTCAAGAGCATCTTTGGACAAAGGGGCCTAAAGTTTGTATAAAAGGAGGGTGTGGCCCTTCTTGGGGCAGTGTGGCAGGGCTCAAAAGGGAAAATAGAGGACTTGTTTTCTCCTACTCTACAAGCAAAGGGATTTGAACCATATGCAGTCTGGAGCATGCATATGGACAAAAGAATCAATTTTGTATAAACTGAGGTATGTGGGCCCCCTTCTTTGGGGCAAATGGGTGCACATGGGGCCCATTAGGGGAAAAAGAGGAAAACACTAAAGATCCTTCTCCTTGTATACTGATAAATGGATTTTAACCAAACTTGTTCTAGAGCATCTTTCGGCAAAGGGAATTTTATTTTGTATAAACTGAGGATGTGGCCACCCTTTGGGCAGAGGGGCAGGGCCAAATAGGGGGGAAACAGGTAAATCTTCTAGAGCATCTTTGGAAAAAAAGGCTTCAAGTGTATATAAACAAAGAGTGTGCACCTCCACATCCCCGGAGGTCCAGACCAATCCCTGGATGCTACCTGCCTCCTCCCCCACCCCTCCACATCCCCGGAGGTCCAGACCAATCCCTGGAGCCTACATGCCTCCTCCCCCACACCTCTACATCCCCGGAGGTCCAGACCAACCCCTGGAGCCTACCTGCCTCCTCCCCCACCCCTCCACATCCCCAGAGGTCCAGACCAATCCCTGGAGGCTACCTGCCTCCTCCCCCACACCTCCACATCCCTGGAGGTCCAGACCAATCCCTGGAGGTTACCTGCCTCCTCCCCCAAACCTCCACATCCCTGGAGGTCCAGACCAATGCCTGGAGGCTACCTGCCTCCTCCCCCACACCTCCACATCACTGGAGGTCCAGACCAATCCCTGGAGGCTACCTTCTTCCTCCCCCACACCTCCACATCCCCGGAGGGCCAGACCAATCCCTGGAGCCTACATGCCTCCTCCCCCACACCTCTACATCCCCGGAGGTCCAGACCAATCCCTGGATGCTACCTGCCTCCTCCCCCACCCCTCCACATCCCCAGAGGTCCAGACCAATCCCTGGAGCCTACCTGCCTCCTCCCCCACACCTCCACATCCCCGGAGGTCCAGACCAATCCCTGGAGCCTACATGCCTCCTCCCCCACACCTCTACATCCCCGGAGGTCCAGACCAATCCCTGGAGGTTACCTGCCTTCACCCCCACACCTCCACATCCCCGGAGGTCCAGACCAATCCCTGAAGCCTACCTGCCTCCTCCCCCACACCTCCACATCTCCGGAGGTCCAGACCAATCCCTGGAGGCTACCTGCCTCCTCCCCCACACCTCCACATCCCCGGAAGTCCAGACCAATCCCTGAAGCCTACCTGCCTTCTCCCCAACACCTTCACATCCCCGGAGGTCCAGACCAATCCCTGGAGGCTACCAGCCTCCTCCCCCACACCTCCACATCTCCGGAGGTCCAGACCAATCCCTGAAGCCTACCTGCTTCCTCCCCCACACCTCCACATCTCCGGAGGTCCAGACCAATCCCTGGAGGTTACCTGCCTTCACCCCCACACCTCCACATCCCCGGAGGGCCAGACCAATCCCTGGAGGCTACCTGCCTTCACCCCCACACCTCCACATCCCCGGAGGTCCAGACCAATCCCTGGAGGCTACCTGCCTCCTCCCCCACACCTCCACATCCCCGGAGGTCCACACCAATCCCTGGAGGCTATCTGCCTCCTCCCCCACACCTCCACATCCCCAGAGGTCCAGACCAATCCCTGGAGGCTACCTCCTTGGGACATAACATCGAAACTCATTTTCTTGGTGTCTTACCCACCATAACAGATTTACATGTAGTTCTTCTTGCAACTTTGCTTCTTGTTCTCCTTTGATAAACCTGTATGGTACTCAGTAGGTTTTGCATCGAAAGTAAAATACCAGGTGAGCTATTTAGGCCCCTGGGCCTATTGTCTAGTTTTACATGTATAATAGGTTTTTCAAAACATGTCAGATGAGAATCTAATATTGATCAGTGTCTTTATTGAAAGCAGCGTTCCCAGAAACCCCAAAATGAAGGGTTTTCACCCTTTAAACATTTAGTTGTATCCCCAGTTTTCAAAAATAATGCCTGTTGTTACTAAGCATCTACGGGTACAGAATCTTGAAAATGTATCAAATATAGCCCCACATCTAAAATTCAGTGGGAACACTGAAAGTCAACAAAAAACGTCCCTCGTCCGTCCGGCCGTCAACTTTTCCTTTAAAACGCTACTAGTCCTAAATTTGGTCTGGAGCATCCTTAGGCCAAGGGGAGTCAATTTTGTATAAATGGTGAGTCTGGCCCCCCTGGGGGCTGAGGGGCGGGGCCCAATACGGGAAATATAGCAAATTCTTTAAAATCCTTCTCATGTAGGAATGAAAGGATTTGTTCCATATTTGGTCTAAAGCATCCTTGGGTGAAAGGGAACCAGTTTTGTATAAACCATGGGTCTGGCCTCCCAGGGGCCTGAGGGGCGGGGCCCAATACGGGAAATATAGCAAATTCTTTAAAATCCTTCTTCTGTAGGAATGAAAGGATTTGTTCCATATTTGGTCTAAAGCATCCTTGGGTGAAAGGGAACCAATTTTGTATAAACCATGGGTCTGGCCTCCCAGGGGCCTGAGGGGCGGGGCCCAATACGGGAAATATAGCAAATTCTTTAAAATCCTTCTTCTGTAGGAATGAAAGGATTTGTTCCATATTTGGTCTAAAGCATCCTTGGGTGAAAGGGAACCAATTTTGTATAAACCATGGGTCTGGCCTCCCAGGGGCCTGAGGGGTGGGGCCCAATACGGAAAATATAGCAAATTCTTTAAAAATCCATCTTTTGTAGGAATGAAAGGATTTGTTCCATATTTGGTCTAAAGCATCCTTGGGTGAAAGGGAACCAATTTTGTATAAACCATGGGTCTGGCCTCCCAGGGACCCGAGGGGCGGGGCCCAATAGGGTAAACATAGCAATTTTTATTTTTAAATCCTTCTTTTTCTTTAGGAATGAAAAGATTTGGTCCATATTTTGTGTGGAGCATCTTTTGGTAAAGGGGAACCAATTTTGTATAAACAGTGGGTGTGGCCACCTAAGGGGTGGGGCCCAATAGGGGAAATAGAGGTAAAACCTTTAAAATCCTTCTTCTACCATAGGGATTAAGGGATTTTATCCTAATTTAGTCTGGAGCATCCTTGGGCCAAGGGGTCTCAATTTTGTATAATGGTGGGTATGACCCCCGTAGGGGCATAGGGGTGGGCTTTGTTTGAAGTTTGTTCTCACTATATCTCAAGTACTGAATGGATCTTTCTGAAACTCATATGTACTTACAGCACCTACCATGGAGTGCTATATCTTTACTTCATACCGATTATTTTAAACATATTCAGGTGAGCGATACAGGCCCTCTGGGCCTCTTGTTCCACTATTGATTCGTACTGATAACGATGAAATTCAGAATCCTTTTTATGCCTTACTTATTGTTTTAATGTTAACTATTTCTCTAGTACATGTACTGGTTTTTTGTCTTACAAATTAATTTTTTATCTTTTTTTTTATTTTGATATTTTTGACAACTATTTGTCATGAAAGCGAATGAAGAAATAATGTGGAACTGTGTATTTCATGTACTTAATTATTATATCCATTTTAATAATTTTACCTGATGTATTTTTGACATCAGTTATAACTTATTCTCATAATTATGTTTTCTAAATTTATAGCAACATTGCATCTTCTTGTAGCAGAATGAGGTGTGGAGAACAGAATGTTTTATCATTTTACAGGTGCTAATTCAGATTCAACTGTTTTGTATCTACTGGAGGCTAGCTGTAGGATTACGATAACTCAAGTGTCAAACAAATCCGGAGTTTAAATGGCAGCAATGGAGATCGAGGAAGAGAATCCTGTCAAGAATATATCTAAAAAAATCTCGTGTCGGAATCAGCAAATCAAGACTCTGGTATCGCTCATAGGACAGGTAATGATATATAATACTAGTATACACTTAATGGAGAAATAAAGGAATCTCAACACCACAAGGACGTTTTGTGTGATTTACTGTCTACATGTTTCGGCCTGCTATGGGGCCATCATCAGGACGTTTTGTAAATCACACCAAACGTCCTTGTGGTGTTGAGATTTCTTTATTTCTCTATTATGTTATATTATATTATGTAGTAAGAAGCTCTATAGAATCCACTCACAGATCCACCCCAGGCTGCTTCAAACTACATCAGCAGTGTTGGATCACCCATTATTTATTAGTAAACACTTATAAACTAGGTCCCAGGTAGACAAACAAGTATATGGATAATTTATCATTAGATATAGTCTTTAACTGTAATTACAGGAAACAGTGTTTTATGCATATTACAGTCAAACTTTGATGTTTTAAATTTTGCGGGACTGTTGGGGAAAATTTGAATCATCGAGACTTCGACTCACGAAGGTTGAATTTGAACATGTTTGAAATCTGCATAAGATGAAATATGATTGTTCAGTGACAGAACACAAGGCAATTTTTTTTTTTTAAACCTAGTTATTGGATTCAATGTAATTAGAAACATATGTTTGATGTATCTGTGCACTGTAAATACCTGTTTAGTTCCAATGTTCTCGTACAGGTACATGTACATGAATTTGTTTGACTTCGATTTAAGTTAAAATGCAGCCCCATTTCCTATTGAAAAATATATAGGACATTTCTTTTAAATTAAGCTTTATTTATTTTACAATAATTTGAAACAACTTCTAACAACTTATATTAATCATGTTTGTTAGCCCAGATGGAAGCGCAGAAGGGGTCTTAATGTGGGAGGAAACCGTAGTACCCAGAGAAAACCCACGTGGTCGGGCAGTTGACCCGTACCTTTTTCACGTCCCGTTGGGGAATTTGTATTCAGATGGCAATTTAGCATCTTACATTTTTTTTTTAAAGTGTTTATGTTCTAAAATTCTGGCAAAAAACACTGAAAATAGCTGGTAGAATCCAGGCAGGATTAGTAAAATTATTGTGCCATAATTGGGAGTAGTATTGTGGTCATGTATACTGTATAGTAGGTTCTTGATATAAATATTAAATAGGTATAATATAAATGAACTTGTAAGTCACTCTTTTCCAAGCTTTCGGGCTTAGCCCTTCGTCAGGGATCCCTGAAGCCCGAAAGCTTGGAAAAGAGTGACTTACAAGTTCATTAATATTATTGCGTTCCCTCTAGGAACATATGTTTATAGACAATTAGGTATAATATAGTTATTAACCATTCCAGTTATGAGTAAGCACATTGACATTGCATGTGATTGGGGTGTGATTGTTCCACCGATATTCTTGTTTATTTTTCAGCGAGAGCAGGTTGCTCCTCCTACCCTGTTCCTTTACGGACACACTGGTACAGGGAAGTCCCTGGTCATCAACTCACTTCTCCAGACACGAGAGGTACGGAATCCTGGGGAATTGCATGAGTCCTTGTGAACTAAATTAATGTCAACGTCCCTTTTTACTTTCAAAATTGTCTCAAGCATAATGTATATTAACGAATCCTTTCGTATAAAGTTTGCAGTAAAATGTATTGTTTGTTTCACCTTTAAAGTGGTACATGTATTTAAATCTTTAGTTTGTTGAAAAAAGTATGGAGTTAAACAGAGTATTTGAAAATGTACATCAGAATAAAAGATAATATGGATGATGTTCAACATTTTTCCAGCACCCTAATGATTTACGAAATTATGAATAAACACTACAGTTGACGTAATAAACAGCTTTACAATTTGTAGGGTATGATATTAAAGATGTTTCATAATACCAAATTTTGACTACATAATTGTATTTGAGATCCAGAAAACAACTGGTAATTCTTGTAGTGGACTTTATTAGGTGTGTTGCCTTTTTAGCTCACCTGGCCCACATCAAAGTTTTTCTTGTCACACAATGTATTAAACGTGTCGCACCGTTTCAAGACTGAATGCATAATTATGCTATCTTTGTCAAGCTTTGCAAGTCGGTCTTGGGTAGCAGAGTACAGTAGAAATGGGTTGACCCTAAAACTAAAGGGCATGTCTCGGATAAACATGGATAGCGGATTCATCCTGCACATCACACCTACATATATATATATATATTTATAAACTACATTTTGAATACGTTTTTTTTTATAAGAATGATTTGTTTTTCAAAAGGTGATTTCCCCAAATTTGGGACTTGTGAAAACCATGGTTACCAAATCAAAAAATGCCAAAAAGTGTTAAAAATCATGATTTTTAACCCAAAATTTGACCCATGCAAGTAGTATTTTTTTTCTGAAAACCTGTCTTAAATTAAATATCACCTACTTGGTCGCAGAAACTCACATTTTAGCATAGGTCCTCAAACTGGATTTTTCACAATATTTACACATGTGCTGAGTACAAAAAAGACTACATGAAAAGCTAGCTTTTGTTGTGTAGACACAGATTCGTAAATGGCCAAAAATGTAGTCTTAAGCCAAATTCATTTTTTTTTTTTAAATGTGTCCAATTCATCATATACATGCCAATTTTAGTGCTGATTTAAAAAAAAAAAATTGATACATGTTATATTACAGGGGTTATTCATTGTACAAAAATATCACCCATGGCCACCGTACGCTACTGTACACTGCTACCTTGAAACTTGGCGAATATATTGTACGTACATAATAATTTGTGTATAAAGTAAAACTTTGATGAAAGATAAGATCTAAATGTGTTGTTCTCTCATACTAATTTAATCTTTTGCAGTTGTCGTAAATTAATTGAAAATTAATTGTTACTTATGTTGTGTAGTTACCTCATGTCATGGTGAACTGTGTGGAGTGTTACAATCAGAGGTTTATGTACGAGAAGATCCTCAACAAACTACAGGGTTTACGTTCTTACATGAATGACCCCGACTCCTACCTGAAGTGTGACAACATGAACGACTTTATCCGGATGTTCCGGCAAGTGTGTGAGGATCGCGGTCTGACCAAACAAACAGTTTATATTGTGAGTAGAATTTTGACATATTAAGTTTTTCAAATTATATTGAAAAAATTATAAATCTATAAACGAGTGTGTATTCATGATCGAAAATGTTTTGATATTAAATATCGTTTGAAAGTACAAAATTTGTGAAAATATTGAGCAAGATACAGAAATCCAACTTGGATATATGTTCACTTTTTCTATACAAGTATATTGAAGTTCAGTATCTATGAAATTACTACATATGTTGTGCTATAATGGTAATATCTTGAATTTATTTAAGGTTCTAGACAAAGCAGAATGTTTGCGAGATAAGGAGATCAACATCCTACCAGCCTTCCTCCGACTACAGGAACTTGTATGTTATACTTCTGTTTTAGTAGTATAGCTTTATAGTTTGGGCCCTGTTGTTCAAAAGGTGGTTAACTTAAGGTCATAGGAGTGTATTGCTAAACGGAAATAGGAAGTACATCCCTAATTGAAAATCCAATGTAGGGAGACAGTATCACAATTTCCGCATATTCTAATGTTTAATATTAAACTGATAAATATTGTTTGTTTATTATTGACAGAACAGTGTGTTTATCAATATTAAAGTATTTCAAAGCAATCCAGACATTAATTCAGTTGATTTTTAATCAAAGAGTCACATGTGTCCATTTTTCTGTACTTCAGGAAACCGGCTACCTATTTCACTACTGTAAAATTTTTCAAGAACGATAACTCTTACATGCAATTACTATGTGTATATGGTTTTATTATAAAATGTCAATTTTTAATCGTTTATAGATGATCAATTTTACACAATTTCCGCATTTATGAAATTAATATACATTAATGCAATACTAATCTATGTCAATATCCTTTTAATTGACATTATTTTCCATGTAAAATCCTTTAAATTCTGACAACCTATTTTTTTTTGTGGCAGAAAATGTTCTTTACTTCAAAGCAATATAACTACAAAATGTGAGGAAATTCTACTGAGAAATGGCGACACAATCCTATTACCTTAATCAGTGATTAAAAAAATACAACCATTAACCAAATTAAACTTTCCAGGTATCCAGAGGGCTGCGATGGCCAAAACGATTAACTCATTTACCCCTGAAGACACATTTGAACTCTTCCAATTCAAAGGTTGGAATAGTTCATTATAAAATTTCAGGTGTGAATAAGTTGAGGCGTCTGACCATTTGAATCACTACAGCCATTTACCACTGGGTTGGCAGTTCATGGCCTACGTGGGGCAGTCGCCAGGTACTGGCTACAGGTCGGTGGTTTTTCACTGGGCCCTCCAGCTTTCCTCCACACCAAAACCTGGCACGCCCTTAAATGACCATAGCTGTTAATAAGACGTAAAACACAATTAAACCAAATTCCAGGTATCAAATATTTAATTAGAGTAAAGTTCAATGTATAATGACAAGGTTTTTACCTTGTATATATATTGATCAAATTATTAGTGGGTGAAAAATGTCATCAAACAGTAATTGAGCTAATCACCTTTTGAACAACTGGACCCTGGTCTAAATGAAATTTAAATCATGTGTGGTTTACGCATTCTCTAAATCCTGAATTATTTTTCCAAGATAAATTCATCCTGCAGCCAATCAGCTTGTTTATATTAGTCCAAGGGAGATAATACAAACTGCAACATGTTTGATGAAGAGATTCTCAAGCCAATTCAATTCTTTCTTTTATACACTACTAGACATGAGCCATTTTACTTTATCATATTCCAAATAGCTGGCCTGGTTGGACAAGATTTGTTTGATTATAAATTAGGGACTGACCTTGCTATTTGATGCTGAGGTCTGGAAAGCCTTCCAAGGCCTGCATTAACATTTGCCGTCTGACAGGTTTTACCCCAGAAATAGTTTTACCCCAGAAATATTACATTTAAAAATATTCAAACCAGTTGGTTCACATAAACTAATAAGCCCAGGGATAGGTGTAGTTTACTTTCCCTAAAAGTACATAATTATTTTGTATATATTTACATATTTTTCTTCTTTTTACTTTGAACAAATCCAATGGTATTATTTTGTTTGCAGACACATCAAAATGTCTGCGTCGTGTTGATGACAGAGATAGTTTGGGAGAAATTCCGTACTGGCACTGGTTACTGTGAACCATACATACTTAACTTCCCAGACTACACAAAAGGTAAGAGGTCATACTGACACATTATAACAGTTATACTAATAAATAATAAATTGAGGTTCTTATGTAGGTCGTCTCAAAGCGGTTCACAAATTATTATCCGTGGTTATAGGGCCTTTGCAACCAGCCAATGTATCTTTCTCAACTCCCTGGGGAGCATACAGCCGGTGCTGCCATTTCGGCACTCAAAGCTACCATTCAACAATACTAGCACTGCCCAACCACGTACTCATTTACGGCTGAGTAGACTGGAACAAGTGGAGTTAAGTATCTTGTTTAAAGATACAACACAGTGCCATGATGTGACTCGAACCTGCAACCTTTGGTCACGAGCCCGGGGTCTTACCACTACCGATAAAGGGAAGCAATAAGTGGTTGGTGAAGAAGTAAAACTCTGTAGACAGTATACTTCACCTTAACTAAGGTCTTGGTATATATTTACCTGTGTAAAGTATTATCAATGAAGAGATTAATCTCAACAAAATGTTGCTGTAACTGACCATGAATATAGATTCTGTTTCACTACTGAGTGGTACCCAGGGACCACGGGAGGTGTGTGCACATCTTCTATCATTAGCGATCTATCTTCTAGCTTGGTCAGCGACGGACAATTCTGCTCTGACAAAAACTACATATTCATCAAACAATTTTGATGTTTTATGAACTTTTGTGTAAACGGTGATAAAAGTTATAAATAACTGCTTTTTAACACATTTGAAGACGTGCAGGGCACTGTAAGCTGCCATGAAAATAGATTATAATCTTGTCAGAATTGTATTGTAACTGACCAATGGTAGAAATCGTTTTATCAAAATGACATTGTGACTAGCCCTCCATCCGAAGATAATGAGCTGGTCAAAGCTGGTCAAATAGCCCTTTGTCAGTGGTCAGTCTGCCATCCTTTCTTAAACAGTTCATCTTATAGTTTTTATCACCGTCAAATTTTGACGGGAGTAATATGGTATGGGTTCGTCCGTCCAGCATAAACTTTTGTTTGTCCGGCAATATCCTCATACATTTTTCGACCGATCTCTTTGAAAGTTATTATACATTATAATCATGATATGAAGTTGTGCCTCCCTCAAAAGAATTTTGATTCGACAATTTTCCCAAACGTCATTGCCCTTTGTTCATTTCATTATTTGATTTTTTGTCTGGAGATCTCCTACATTTTTTGACGGATTTCTTTGAAACTTAGTTGGCTAAATTATCATGATATGTTGTTGTGTTTCCTTGAACAGAATTTTGATTCGACGATTTTTGCAAAAGTTATTGCCCTTTGTTCATTTCAGTATTTTATTTTTTGCCCTGAGATTTTCTCCTACATTTTTTATAGCATATCAGCTAACCACTTTTAGAATGATGCAGATCTTATTTCAATGTAAGAAAGTATATAACACTTTATGGCATTCGACGGGCGTATATTATTTTTCCGCCTCGTGGTACTCTTGTCGCTCAAGAAATACTGAAGAGACTTTTCTCCAGTTCCAGACGTACAGTGGGGTCATCTTGGTCCTTAGTTGTCGAGTTTGTTTCAGTTTGAGCCTTTAAGGTGTAAACAATGGCACCCTACAGTGAAAGGAGTTTATTTTATTTCCCAAATAAGGATTCCATTCCATTTATTTACAAAAGTGCAAATGCGATCTATTAGCATATGAGTGAATTTTTCAGTATTTTCAACTGAATGACCTTGAACCTTTATCAATGTCAGTGAGGTCAAATGTGTTAAAAACATTACAACCACTTCCTCAGAATAACGAAGAGGGCTTCGGTCATGACATTTGACATGTAGCTTAATGGTGTAATGTTAAAGTGATAGGAATCGTGGGATCTGGGGATCTAAACCAACTGCAAAGATCTGATTAGTAAAATAGAATTAAGTCATTAACAATTGCCATCCAGGCTTCATAGTATTCAAATGAAATCTTTTAGGGTATATATGTCATGGTTATACTGTCAAATGTCTTGTTACATCCCAAATGAATTAGAATGGTATTAAGCCTATTTCAATAAATATGACCTTTACCATCTTTGAAACTTACAAATGTGAAATGAATTACAGGTGAGCAAAACAGGCCAATTTGGCCTCTTGTTTTCAGATTTTAATGGTAATGATTCAAACTTCATATGGTGTTCATTTTTAGATGAAGTGCTGACTATCTTGACTGAGGACCGGCCTGAGGGTTGTGAGGCAGACTTCTACTCCATGTACCTGAATCTCCTTCTAAGTGTGTTCCACATGGTGTGTCGGGATCTCAGGGAGATACGCTACCTGGTTAGTACTGTGCAGTTAATTTTGCGAGGCTATTATTTCGTGGTTGTCCAAATCAGTGCTAGTTCGTGAAGATTTCATATCGTGCAACATTGCCAGGTAACATATCGCGGTCATGATGGTACTTTGGATAATTGGATTTATAATTATGTCTCCCCTTGGAATGAAGGGAGACATATTGTATTAGTACTGGTTTTTCTTCTTCTTCTGGTTCTTCTAATCGCAACTTGTCTGGGCCATAACTTATAAACCATTAAACATATCTTGATAAAACCTGAGGTATGCCTGTATCACCCACAGAAGGTGTGCAGTGCACTGGGATTACATCTTATGCCCCACTATATACAGAGTTATGGCCCTTTGTTTATTTTTAATACCGAAGTTTGTCCTGAGCATAAGTTCCATGTTATTTCACCTACGTTGACCAAACTTGCTATAGTTTTAATGTATCTTTAGAAGTAGGAGTGTTGCATTCTAAGAGATATGGCCCTTTGTTAATTTTTTATACCGAAGTTTGTCTGTATGCGCTTATAAGGGGAGACATATGTTTTTGTTCACAAAAACAAGTTTCTAGTTATTTTTTTAAATGTGTTTTGTCAAAATAGAGTAAAATGTGATATTCAATTGTTTTATCTTCATTGTTCGATTTTAAATAGGCAAACAGTTCTTTTCTTTATCTCAGAATTTGGAATATTGCAATATATCATAATTTATTGTATTCCTACAAATTCAGTTTATTTATAATGATTTTATAAAGAAAATATAAGAAGTGAGCATCAGTTCAGCAAAAACAAATTCAGTAGGTTGCATTTAAAGCAATAAATTAATACACACATATATGTATTGTATTTGTTGAAATTATATTAAAAATATACGTAAATAATTTCACAGGCCTCGCTGAACTATGACCAGTACTGTCAGCCAATCAAAACCGGAGATGGTAAGTATTTGTTAAAATGGTCTGGCTTATGTATATAAAGCAAACAATACTGTAGAGAGGATTATGTTCATAAAATTTGTTTCAAGATCCATTAAAATGTATACCCTGAAATCCTCAATAGAACATGGTTCAGTCATTAAAACTCCATAAGGATATTGCATCAAACAATCCGCTGTAATTTAAAAATGATTTATCTATTTACTGACTTGATATGTGTGTTGTATGTACATATTACAGTTAAAAGCTTTCCTTTCACAGTCTTAGCCTCAGACACTAGAAAGTTGTGGAAGAATATAGAACCACACCTGAAAAAGGCACTACAAACAGTTTACCTGAGGGAGGTGTCCAGGTAAGTTGACACTACAAACTGTTTACCTGAGGGAGGTGTCCAGGTAAGTTGACACTATAAACTGTTTACCTGAGGGAGGTGTCCAGGTAAGTAGACACTACAAACTGTTTACCTGAAGGAGGTGTCCAGGTAAGTTGACACTACAAACAGTTTACCTGAGGGAGGTGTCCAGGTAAGTTGACACTACAAACAGTTTACCTGAGTGAGGTGTCCAGGTAAGTTGACACTACAAACTGTTTACCTGAGGGAGGTGTCCAGGTAAGTTGACATTTAAAAATGTCTACCTGAGGGAGGTGTCCAGGTAAGTTGACATTTAAAAATGTCTACCTGAGGGAGGTGACCAGGTATATTAACATTGCAAACTGTCTTCTTAGGAGATAGAAGGGAAATAATTTTCATAGGGAAGATTTACTAAAACCAAGTTTGAGAACTAAGGTACTACTTTTCTCTGCTAATATATGTATGTCAGTGTTCATCTTTTCACTAAGGGAAAACTATATTTGCTTCTTTCCTTTGATGTCATTAAAGGATATGTCCTGGAATAATTTCAAGAAAAAAATGAAACTTAGATCTCTGACAATGGTTACGTACTTATTTTCAAAGTGTTGAGATTTGTACAGGTATTGGTATGTGATCTTTCCTTAGTCTTGTTTATCACTGATTTGCATTATTAGTACATGTATATATTTTTTTGGTTTAGTTCTCAGTGGGAGAAAGCACAGCAGGAGACTGAAATCGGAGAAACGCCATCTTTGCAAGGTAATTAATGTTAATCAGAATTCAGCAAGTCGATGAAAATATAATTTTCTTTGGATTATAAGTATTCAAACTGTACTTCAACATAAATAGAAATCTTAGCAATATCTGCTTGACATATTACACAATGCACATACATCACCGTTCAAACCCTTTCTGTAAGAAGGGAGCTAACCCAGACAAGCTTGCTTTAGAGGCTTAATTTAAAAAATGATTTTCTGAAAAAGAAAATTTGGACGAAAAAAGATGAAGTAAAATTAATGTATTCACTATTCAGAGTATCAAAATGAAATAGATAGAGAAAGCCATTGTAGGAATTTGATATGAAGATTAATGCTTTGTAAAAAGATTAACGAAAAATTTGATGCTGTATTTAATTTATTTAAAGCTGTACAGCAGTCTACAATGGGATGGGAGGTGGGTTCTCCTCTTTGCTCTCTGACAAATTAATTGGATACCAAATATATATATGCCATACATGTAGCATGTATGAGTAAATAATGAGAAGTGTCTTGGTACTGCAGTATGTAATGAGAGGTGTTTAAGTAATACTGTGTTTCTCTGTAGGCTTGTCCTCCAGAAACCATGTTGAGCTTCCCTACTACTCCAAGTATCTGTTGATAGCAGCCTACCTTGCCTCCTACAATCCTGCCAAGACTGACCGCCGGTTCTTTGCCAGGGTAGGTTTTGACTTTAACATACAGTATACAGTAAAAAAATAAAAATCTTGATACAAACCCCAGGATACATAGGACACAAACCCCAGGATACATAGGAATTGATTTCCGATTAAAACCAAAATTTGTGATAGAAATCTATTGAATAAATTCCTCCTGAGAAAATGTTGATGATTTTTTCGTTATTCGGTCTGAATAAGAACAAATTACTGTTGTTGCATTCGTTTTGAATGAATGCTGTTTTCAATGTACACAGTAAGTGATGACATCACAGACATTGACCTCGCAGATTAGTGATGTCATGGATAGAAGGGTATGTTGGAAATGAGTTTGATGATCATGCCTTTCCTGGAGACAGATACATGTACATAAAACATATTTATGATATTTTGTGTTTTAAACTTCATGAATCTTCTTTTGTGTGCATGCAATGTAAATGAAACATTTCGTAAAATTTAATATTACTGTGAAGCTATTTGTAATTTCCTTTTACAGAATTCTGGCAAAGTAGACAGACGGGCCAAATTGATTAAGAAACATGAAAGAGTAAGTACAATTCAATACTAATCATTTCAGCATCACTCAATTCAAGCAATAACTATTTTAATCACTCATTATTAATGACGGATGAAAATTTTCTATGGCCCTCTGTCAAGGTTGTCTCCCAGTGAGAAGCAGCCCTTCAGAGGGCGACAGTTTTGCATATCCCCAGACGTCAAATGTATAACATGTTTTATATTTGAACTGGTAAATTACAGATATAGAGGATTTATACTGAAATACTGTTTATGGTTTCCATGAAACACAGCCCAACTGAGATTCTCTTTTTTTTCTTACAATTTACCTTGAATATAATTCTGCTGCTTACAAATTAAAAATTCACATTGCTGAAATCCGATACGCTTGTAAGTTTAATAGTATGAGATATAAATTTGACTGCTAAAATGTTTAGATAATTACTCAGGTAAATTTGCCAGTTGTGCAAGATAACTGCTGAATAGTGTTACAATGCTCAGAGTGAATCTCCAATGAAGAAGAGTTCCGTTTTGTTCTGCATTTTGCTGTCTTGGAAGTTGCTTGCACATTAACTATAGCAAAGAGATGAATATAAATGAAATATATTGATCCTATTTTTTCTTTCTCACAAGAACGTCTGCTATGGATATCTGAACACTTGATCTCTTGACTATACCAGTCATGGTATTTGTTACGGTTGTACATTCCTGCAGAATTACAGGGAAAATTTCAAAATGATCTAAAAGGCTCACAATCTTGTTTTAGTATGAATATAAAGGAAATCATATAAATTTAACAAGAAACTAACTTTTGAATGCCTGTAAACAGTAGAAGTCTGCCTTAAGTATGATTGCTGTTTTAAAATGATATTGCTGCTGTTGAAGATAGTATTACGGCTATACTCGGTCTACTGCAGGTTTTTATTCTTCTAAATTAGTGCTTACTATCAGTTAACTGGTAAAATAAGGAAATACATTTTGGATAAAAATCCATGTCACTGTGTATATATTTTATATGCATGTCTTTATGTAAAAAGTCCTTAAAGAAAATCATTGCTTAAGTCAACTGTTATTATCATACATTTCATATTCTTTTACTATATTGAAGATTGCTGGCTTTTATCTTCAATTATAATATTTTCCTTAATTAAGCAAGTTGATTTTGTAAATAAAAGTGGAAACAAGGACCCCCCAAGAAAAAATAAAGGAAAAAGACGTAATTTTAATTAAGTATGTTTAAACAGAAACACTTCTCGGGGCCTTGGACACATTTCAATGTCAGCTTCGCTGGTACTTAGTGTTTGTGTTTTGCCACTTGACGAGGAAATTGTTGATATTTTGAAGTAGCTTTAAGAGGTCCATTCCCAAGAGTTTATACACGCAGAACCAATCCTTCTCCTTCAGCTATAAACAAAAACTAGTGCCACACAATTACGTCTTTAATAGGTCAGATGTTAAGTGTATATGTGTGTATGGTATACTCTGATAATACGTCATAAGAGAGTTCCGGAGGAACATGCAGTACATGTATTAACACTATTCTCACACTAATTACCCTTTTATGTACAATAGCAGTGTCCACTGTTAAGTCCCCAGAGAAACAATTCTAGTTTCAGACCAGTGAGTGACCTTAGACTTAACATTAAGGATCCCCGTACCACATATTGTAAATATGCAATAGAAACTGGTTTATTGGCCTAACTATAGCTTTGATCAATTGTTTCTGAAGAGAAAACTATACCTTGCAGAGCTTGGGTCGCAGGTTCGAGGCCTAAATGGGGCAGTTGCCAGGTACTGGCTTCAGGTCAGTGGTTTTTCTCTGGGTACTTTGGCTTTCCTGCACGACCAAAACCTGGCACGTCCTTAAATGACCATAGCTGTTAATTATATAATAGGACCTAAAAACAAACTAACCAAACCAAACAATGGTGTTCCGAGTGTAAAAATGTTGTAAGGCCAGAACTGGGTTCAACTGTTGTACTCAGCTGGCCCAGTCCCACTACAGTTATAGCCAACACAAACTTCAGGGGAGGTTACTGTGTGTACAAAAAGCTGTGGTGGAACTCTCTAGTGATTTCCCTGCTGTAGAACATACATGGATCCTTAAAGTGAATTTGTATTTTATGCCTTCTGTCTTGTTTTTGTTGCAGACTAGTAACCACATGCTGGGCCCTAAACAGTTTCCTATAGACAGGCTGATGGCAATCTTTTTCTCCATTGTGGAGGGAAAGGTATCACCTACAGCGAACATATTTGTACAGGTAAGTCAGTGTCTTATAGACAGGCTCATGGCAATCTTTTTCTCTATAGTGGAGGGAAAGGTATCACCTACAAGTGACAATATTTATTGTAGAATTGATATTAATGTGAAGTTTATTCTGGATTGTAGATTTCCTCACTGGTCAGTCTAAACATGCTTGGACAAGTGGCTGGAGATGACCAGATAGACACGCCTAAATACAAATGTCTCGTGTCCTTGGAGTTCATAAAATCTGTGTCAAGGTCAGTATGATATTAATTTATTATACCCACGTCACAGACATTGGGAGAGGGGGACTGTACTGTAGCTGGAATCTGTTCATCTGTGTCTGTCCATCTGGATGGAAATTCATAAAGCAAAAAATCATGTTATGTTATGAAACTGTATACGTGATCAACACCAATTGCTTTTTCAATTTCTTTTTATCCCCCGCTTTCACCGAAACGGGGGGATGTTGATATTGGTCTGTCTGTCTGTCTCTCCGTCTGTCTGTCCGTCTGTCACGCTTTGTTTCTGTGCAATAACTACAACAAATATCAACCAATTTTCTTTAAACTTGGTCACAGGGTTAAATGCCTTAAGGGGACGGCCAAGTTCGATGACCACTTTCAGCAGACCCCATTTAGCGGAGTTATGGCCCCTTGAATAACGAAAAAACGTAATTATCTGCTGGGTTTTGTTTCTGTGCAATAACTATAACAAATGTTAACTGATTTTCTTCAAATTTGGTTGGATTTTGATGAAAATTGATATATAGGGATATCAGGGAACTGCGAATTCAACTGCATTGGTTTCGTTGCCATAGCTACCACACAGAGGCTTCTGATTGGTCGAATTTAAGATATTGTTAGATTTTGATGAGAATTTGTATATAGGGATATTAGGGGACTGTGAATAAAACCGCATTAGTTTCGTTACCATAGCAACCACACGGAGGCTTCTGATTGTTCGATTTTGATGAAAATTGGTAGATACGGATATTAGGGGACTGCTAATCCAACGGCATATGTTTTGATATAAGAATTAACACAATTATACACCTTAATAGACTGTCAAATTTACATTTTGGACTCGCCAATATCACAAAACCAAACCTAGCAGCAGTGGAATGTCATTGCGAAAAGTCCTTGACGGGGGTTGGTGTTAATTACAAACTGCCCCGGTATGACGGGGGTACGTGTTAATTACAAACTGCCCGGTATGACGGGGGTTGGTGTTAATTACAAACTGCCCCGGTATGATGTATGCTGACAGGATATAAGAGCATGAACTTGGAGCAGAACATGTAGCAATCCCTGGCAAAACATTGTGACCAGTTTCTATGGTTTTATTGGACGAGTGCATGATTAGAGAAGGATGTCCGTAATTGCCCGACTCTTGTCCGTAGTTACCCTACACATGCCTGTATCACAACCAATTTCTATACCTTCTGTGTTTTGGTTTATATTTAAGTGGTCATTTTACCGCCCAATCAAAAGCATAACTAAAAATAGAAAACAGGTAGGGACCTTCATTCTGACGAAACATGTTCGTAGATGATATCTATGATAGAACGCACACAGCATGTTGATTTACTGTACCAAGGAGCGTATATTAGCAGTCATCATTTGAAAAGTGTCTGTATATATACTTACCCTGATGTCCCCTATCTGTTAAGGTCTTTTAAATGAAATTGGGCCGGAGCATTCTTGTTGTTATATACAAGAGCTGCTTGTGTCATCCCCCTCCACCACCCAGAACCCTGCTTTATGTGGGAAGCATCTTTACCTTACTGTAAATAATGTTTTTGGTGGGTAGGTGGAGAGGATTGTTTGGGTTTTTAGGAATCTGAAATTAATTGTTTTTTTTCCATGGGGGGGGGGGGTTAATTTGTGATGAAGATATTTTGATGTAAATTAAAACCTCCGCCTATAGGCGAAACATACCATATTATATTCAGGTTTGTTTTCACAAGAACCTATCATTCAGTCTCCAATTTGCTGTGAAATCAGGCAAAAAGAATGTAGGAGACATGCATTGTGCATGAGAACAATTAGCCTAACAAGGCTTAATTTAAATATTGAAGGCCCCACGTGTCATCCAAGTGCCAAGATGTGTTATCTGTGTTAGGTCTAACACTACTGAGTGTTCGTGCTAGAGTCGGACAAGTAGTTGTAGAAAAGTAACAGATTTTTCAAGGGCTGTGATTGGCTGATAACGTTCCCCTCACTTGTGGACTGTGAAGTGACCGTCTCCTGACTAATTGGCCAGTTCTACTCGGTATGATGAAGTGACCGACTCTCGCTGTAATTACCGAACACTCAGAGTAGTACCATACACTCTTTGAAGGCTAACTTGACCTAATTCTTGAAGGATTAGCAAGGAAGGAAGTGTTTTAGGAAAAATATTTCTCATTATTTTTTGGCGACAATTTGAAATTTCCTTTGATAAGTGCCCTACTTGTAGTAATTAACAGCTGTCCAAGTGTACCAAGTAACCACTGTACCAAGCTACCTGTGTTACCTAGTAACCACTGTACTAAGTTACCTATGTATAGTAACCACTGGACCAGGCTACTTGTAATTACCTAGTAACCACTGTACCAGGCTACCTGTGTGACCTAGTTACCACTGTACCAAGCTACCTGTGTTACCTAGTAACCACTGTAATAAGTTACCTGTGTAACCTAGTAACCACTGTACTAAGTTACCTGTGTTACCTAGTAACCACTGTACCAGGCTACTTGTAAGCCTAGGAACCACTGTACCAGGGACCTGTGTTACATAGTAACCACTGGACCAGGCTACTTGTAAGCCCAGGAAACACCGGACCAGAGACCTGTGTTACCTAGTATCCACTTACCAGGCTACCTGTGTTAACTAGTAACCACTGTACCGGGGACCTGTGTTACCTAGTAACCACTGTACCAGGCTACCTGTGTAACCTAGTAACCACTGTACCAGGGCCCTGGTGTTACCTTGTAACCACTATACCAGGGATTTGTTTTACCTGGAGACCACTGTACCAAGTTACCTGTGTTATCTAATAACCACTGTACCAAATTACCTGTGTTACCTAGTAACCACAGAACCAAGTTACCTGTGCTATCGAGTAACCACTGTACTAAGTTACATGTGTTACCTAGTAACCACTGAACCAAGTTACCAGTGCTATCTAGTAATCACTGTACTAAGTTATCTGTGCTACCTGGTAACCACTGAACCAGGGACCTGTGTTACCTGGTAACCACTGTACCAAGCTACATGTGTTACCTAGTAACCACTGTACCTAATTACCTGTGTTACCTAGTAACCACTGAACCAAGTTACCAGTGCTATCTAGTAATCACTGTACTAAGTTATCTGTGCTACCTGGTAACCACTGAACCAGGGACCTGTGTTACCTAGTAACCACTGTACCAGGGACCTGTATTACCTAGTAACCACTGTAACAGGGACCTGTGTTACCTAGTAACCACTGTACCAGGCTACCTGTGTTACCTAGTAACCACTGTACCAGGGACCTGTGTTACCTAGTAACCACTGTACCAAGCTACCTGTGTTACCTAGTAACCACTGTACCAGGGACCTGTGTTACCTAGTAACCACTGTACCA